AGAGAATTTAAGCACAAAAATTCTTATTTTCGCCTTAAAAAATTTGGGGATTTTTGCTTAAACTCTTCCATAAATTCTATGGAAACCCTTTTAAAATAAATGGAAAAATTGTTATTAATTCAAAAATATAGCTCAAGTTTTGCAATTGGTAGATTGGGATCTTCCATTTTGTTTCTGCAAAACATCAGCTGAAAAGCAAAAATTTTTGAAGTTGAAGATTGCAGAATAATTAATTAAGGGGGGGTTAGTATTTTAATTATTGTGTTAGCTGATAATTCTTAATTTAACAAAATTTAATTTCAATAATCATATAGTTACTTGGCTTATTATTTTGGGCTTAGGAAATAGGAAATAGTGTAGAGATGTATTGAACTAAATAAAAGAGCCATGTGCTTAATGCTTCAATTGCTTTTATGTTTGGAATGTTAAAAAAAAATACTTTTGTATTGTCTTATCATAAATAAGGTATAATGGCTTTATGAAAATATTTTAATATCTTAAGAATATAATATTAATAATGTTTGTTCAGTATTAATGAAAATGGACAAATCTAACTAGATTTCAAATTATAATTGCCATATTCAAATGGAAGTAATTAGATTGCATTAATTTATAAAGTTATGCTAGAGGAGATGTTTGATTTTGTAACCGTTCAAAATAGAGGATGTAAATAGAGCTTAATGCATTAGTGATGCGTAAAGGACTTAAAAGGATTAACTACTTTAGAATGAGAAAATTTTAATTCCATATAAGCACAATTTAACCTTCAGATGTCTCATCTCATATTTTGTAACATTTAAATAACGAAACTTTAAAAAAATATTAGAAAATTATGCACCTAAACAATTCTAAGTTGAAACATATTAATAATGGTGTTTCATAATTTGGCAAGTTATCTGTTTATGTATTCCTTGTCATTTGATCCTTGGCGTAATGCATCCAAATAAAATCTCTTAGCTTCTTATCTCAATTGCAACTCAAATAATGAATCAGCTAAATAGAAATTAAATTTAAAAGATATACCTTTATCTCTTAGTCGAACAGGATTAATGCAAATAGACAGAGCTTAATCATAGCATGTAATAGCATCCTGATATTTCTTTAAACTATGTAATGACAAGCCTAAATTACATAATGGTTTACCTTTATTACTCAATGCATTATCATTATTAGGATTAATGGAAATAGCTTTGTCGTAACACTCAATTGCTTCCTGATACTTCTTTAGGTCATATAATGCTAAGCCTAAACAATAATAATGTGTCACATCAGTTACCCTTATTATTCCATGCAGCATCATATTTAGGATTAATGGAAATAGCTTTGTCGTAACACTCAATTGCTTCCTGATACTTCTTTAGGTCATATAATGAATTGCCTAAACAATAATAATGTGTCACATCAGTTACCCTTATTATTCCATGCAGCATCATATTTAGGATTAATGGAAATAGCTTTGTCGTAACACTCAATTGCTTCCTAATACTTATTTAGATTATATAATGCTAAGCCTAAACAATAATAATGTGTCACATCAGTTACCCTTATTATACCATGCATCATCATAATTAGGATTAATGGAAATAGCTTTGTCGTAACACTCAATTGCTTCCTAATACTTATTTAATTTTCTTAAAGCCACTCCTATTATAAAATGAAATTGATTGTACCTTCGATTAATAATCTTTTAGCCTCTTCAAAATTCAACTAGTTTTTATCTTCTTATTTCAATTAATTAATTTGTTCCACTTTAATATCATTTTGATAAGAGGAATCTATTTATTCTTCCACTCTAATTTAGTCGGTTAACATCTTTTTTAATGTATTAAGAATATTATTGAATTCTATTATTTGTTATTCTATTATAAATAATTATGAAAAAAAAAGATACATTTGCAACTTTCTTTTTCCTTTGAGTAAAACTGTTTTAGGATATGTATTTATGACTTCAAAGCCAAATACTCTTTGTTTTAAAGCTGATGAGTCATATTTTCTAATATTTTAATGTCTTGATCCAACTTTTTTTAAATCTATTCAAAATAGTTCTATAATTGTATATTGACATCTTTGAATTATTTCTTTAATTGATTGTTCACTTGTATCAATTCTGTCATCAGGCGACTGTACAACTGGGAGGTATCAGCTGGACAGCCTCGTTCCGACTTAC